ACCGCCTCATCCCGAATGGACGTCTCGAAGAAGAACGCCCGACGCCCAAGATCATCGACGTTGCAGGAGAACGCCAACTACCAGACACTACCACTGGGATCCTACACTTCACCATCAAAGACGACAAAGAACAGCAACAAACCGTCAAGCTACATGGTCTCATCGTGCCAGGACTAGGCCGGAACATCTTCGCACCAACGGCCCTTCTCGAGAACGGCCTTCGACGTGTCCTGGAAGACAAGACCCCACACCTCACCATCGGCGGAGAAGTCGTCGTTCCTCTGAAACAAGAGACGCAAGACCAAGGCATGTGCACACTCGCCATCACATTCAAGGGCGATCCAGCGTCGACAAGCAAGACACCCCCGAACAACCAGGAAACAGGGCGCAAGCCGAAGTTTGGAGTACCAGAAGCGGTACAGATCGATCACACTCCGCACGCGACATGCTCGGTGGNTGCCACTTCACGAAGCACAGGAAGGCTCCCGTCCCGAAGAAGACCACCCGTGTCCTGACCAAACCAGGCCAACTCGTCCAGTTCGACAACATGGGACCAATCGACCCTCCTGCGAAGTACAACGGACACACCTACTCCTACGTCGCCAATGCGACCGACGTTTTTACCAGAATGCGGGAAGTGTACCTACTGTGCCACAGGACCGAAACCACGCAAGCTCTGCACGCCTACAACATGCAAGTAGCATCTGAAGGCTACCGCATCGAGGTTCTACGCNACGCTGTGGCAAAGGGGGAGAGAACACTGGGGAAGGAATGCGCACCCACTGTAGGGAGTCTGCGATCAAGCTGGAATTCGCCGCGACCAGCACAGGTCCACATGGCTGCGGACAAGCACCTACTACGGTACCTACGCGGAACGCCGGACCTGCCGATCGTGTTCAAGAAGGGGCAGTTCAGCCTCTCGTGCTTTACTGACTCGTCTTTTGGAGCCAACCCAGACAACGGCAGGTCTACCACCGGATACCTGATCTTCCTAAGAGGGGGACTGATCAGCTACGGAGCCAAGGCACAGACTCTCGCAGCACAGAACACCGTGGAGGCCGAACTTCAAGCGCTGAGCTTCAGTGCTCGCGAGGCAGTCTACATCTCCAACTTCATGACGGAAATCGGATTCAAGACCTTTCGATCGGTACCCATCAACAGCGACAGCACCGGAGCATTGACTGTGGCCAGCAACGCGATGTTCAGCTCTAGAACCAAGCACATCGCGCTCCGGTTCTTCTTCCTCAGGGAACTCACGAAGGGGCACCGGATCACTCTTCACCGTCAACCTCGTGCAACGATGTTGGCGGACATCGCGACGGAACATCTCCCCAAGCAGCGATTCGCCACCATCATGCAACTTATCAAGGACTACAAGTGCTAGAAGATGTTAAGCAAAGATCGCATGGTATGGTTGAATGTTTTGAACGCGTGTATTGCTCACAGGATGGATTCACTCATGTGGAGGTCGATATTCTTTGATATGGATTGGGAATCGAGGGGTCGCAAAAATGGCAGCGAAGTGAAGTTTTGGAACATCGGCTACTTGCCTAATCGAGGGGTCGTGTCGAGGAAAACTGTTACAACGTAGTCAGGCACAGTTTACCATAGGTGCGACTGCGGCAACTAGCCTTCCGTAGACATAATACAGAGAGAAGAGATGGCACTCAGCAGAGAACATGAGCACCGAGTTTTAGCGGAGATAATTTGGCAGGCGAGACTGTAGTTGTTTTATTGTTCCGAACCCCGAAATTCCGGTACTCGGGCCATTACTCCGGAGACCCTCGGAACCTGCTGTGTTTTTGCTGCTTGTTTTTTGTTTTTGTTTTGTTGTTGAGATGAGACACAAGCGCGCCTTCGCCCCTTGTGCTCACTCTCATCTAGCACCCATCAAAGCCTGCCAAGGAGTCAGTTGATAAGAACAGCTATCTACATTTCTCTTTCCAAAGCTCGCTCGGGCCTACCGATCTCACAGCAGTGTAGACCAACCTCTGTGATAGAGCGGTGACAGCAGTGTAACCTCTGTGGTAGACTACAAAGTCTATGACCTACAGCAGCACCGCCACCTCCGCTGCTGCAGGACGCCGCATTTTGTGACTATCATTTGTCCCCGCGCAAACATTCGTTTTGGGTCGTTGATCCACGACGACGATGAAGGACGTCTGTGGAGCTGGAGGAATTGCAAGAGAGCGCGCGTAGGGCCGCGAACGGACTCCTGTACGGCATTACCGAGGGTCCGGAGCTCAGCGACGTGCGCCCGTACTTCGGCACCGCCACCAACTTCGCCAAAGAGGTGCGCACGGATACAGGAAGGGGATATTTATGGTGTCATTTTGCATGGTTAGGGACGAGTGGGATATCTCGTATTTGTGAGAAAACAACGTTGACGCTTCACCGCGCGCAGCTTGTTCCCGGTCTCAATGAGAAACGTTGTTACAGCTGGGAGTATCCTCGACAGGACCCCCCGATGGAGGTAACCTGGACCACTAACGTTTGCGATGTTTGAAACGTATCTTCTCGCATAGCCCATACTTGATGCTACCACACGTTTCTGACGCATGCTGAAAACGACTCAAGGCTACGCAAGGCTACTCGCCGTCCACGGTGTCCGCGAGGCTCCGCGATGTTGTGTGTTTCCCAACAATGTTGTGTATTTTCTCACCGGTGAACTGCCAGAAAATAATCTTGGGGGGTGCCTCCCGGCGACTGCTGTACAAATTATCCCTGGGGCATATCCCCAAGAGACGCAAACCTTTATGTCTTTTTAGAGAGAGCGCACCAGCTTGAGCAACCCCTTCGATAATAACTCTGCCCCATGTCAGTGGAGGCCTTGTACCGCGAGATGGAGGTGCTTGAAGTTTTGCTATTCGAGCACTTATTATTCCCCACCGATTTGTTTAACTAGCGTGCTTGTGTTGCCGACAGCTACAACACGCGAGAAGCAGCCAAACTACCCGAAACTGCCAGAACCTAACGATATGGTGTGTACGAAGACAAGCGCAAACAACTCTGCAGGTGTCCTTGTGGGTGTAGTTGCATGCACCAGCTCTTTTTCATTCCTAAAGGACGGATCGTCTGTCGTTTGACGCGCCGCCGCCGTTTTCCACGTGTGTACACCCGATCAACAAACGGATAAGACGCGAATGTGGCTGCTTTACTGGGTGTTCTTCCACTGAAAGGAAACGTAGTGGCTTTGAAAAGGCACGGTGTTATCTTTCGATCGACGGTTAAATCGGTATTGAAATGAGGATTTTTCGGCTTTTGTTTTCGTAAAAGGTGTCTGTGTTGTGCTATGCTCTGACTGTATTTTCAAGTTGTTTGATGGGTCTGCGAAAAGACATCCCTGCTTGCTTTTTTTTTTTTGCGAGCAGCCTGGCCTAGCTTAAAATGAAGGGTATTCTCTACCCGTTCTCGGGCAAGTTGCCAGCACTTGGACGTATGGAGTGTGCATATGATGTTTAGCGGCAAGGGTTCATTGTTTCTTTGATGCTGCTCCCAGTTGTAATACAAAGGTTCGCTGCTCCTCCTTCTGCTGAAGAGCTTTGCGTAGCTTTGACGCGTACCACAGGAGGTCGCCGCGACAAACTGGACTTCATTTTAGAGTGCACCAAATTGAGGCCGATATTTGTTTCAAAGCCGCACGTGTTGCCACAGCAGCCAAACCTTGCGGCCAGCACACGGTTATCGTTTTCTTCCGAATGGCGTATGTCAATTTTTCCTGAAGCCCAAGGGAAGAGATAGATACCAAACCAGCAGAGAGCACATTTCCCGCAAACACGTTTCTGCGGCCTATCTATCGTGCCTGTGCCTCTCTCCCAATTAAGACTCTCTCTCTTCTCTCCAAACAGCAGCTGAGGGTGCCCTCTCCTGTGGTGGAAGGAACCAATCTCAGATGACCAAGTCCCCCAAATGGTACCCTACCATTTCCTTCGCCAACATCGAGGTCATCATGACACTCGCAGTGGGATTAGCTCCTGTTATTACCTCCAACACCGACTTGCTGCGTCGTACCGTACGGGACACGACTTGCGAGTCCTCTGTGTTGCGTATTGTAACGGCTCCTACACCTTCTTCTGACTTGATGTTCCTGCCCCCAACTGCCAAAGCAAGCAAATTCCCCAAATCCTTCGCTAAATAGTCCAGCGCGCAATGGTTTCTCGAATTCACCCCTAATTCTTGACTTTTTGCCTCGAAGCTCCGCGAGCTTGGTCATACACTTAAGAGTTTGCAATGCACAACCTTCGAAACCCGATGTTAACGGCGCGTCGTCGGGCAACGTTGCACAACATGACAACGACGTCACCGCCATAGCAACTGCTCTGCCGTCTGCTCTGTATCTCGATCATGGGTCGATATCCTCATACCGATTCTTGGATCGCTTCCTGCCATGTACGAGGAGAGCCCCGACCACGCCGACCTGACAACGGCAAGAATAATTGGCACCCGGCGGTCATACGTGTGGCTTCTTGCGCACCGCCGCCGCACCGACCAGTTGCCCCGCCCCGCGATTGAGGACACGATGATGTCGGCCATCAGATATGAGTTCGTCTGTGCCATATATCTCGCTGCAGCCCATATTGCAATGCTGCCGCGCCGCCCTCATTAGCCCGTGTGTTTCAACTCACTCAGCTCTCGGCGATCCCTTCGATAGCGATCCTTTTGATTCCACTGCCACCCCTGAGCCGCGGTCTGCGGTTCGTGGAGAAGACAATCGAAAGTGCAAAACAAGTCCACCAGCTCCGGCCGTCGCACACTGTTCATGTGAATGGTGCCGGCAGTTGAACTCTTAAATATTCATGCGTCAATTGCCCAACGGCAACAACCCTAATAGCTGAAACACTATATATGTGTGGTTATGGCGTTTACGCTCTCTGCATTCATGCGTGAATCGCCCACAGGCAGCAACCCTGGTAAGTAGCGCTGGTGACAAACAAGCCCACCAACCACGGCCGCCACACACAATTTAGTACTTGTATGCATACAACCTGCTGGCGTCAGAGATCCTTGATGCTGTCCAGTTAACTTCTCAGTACGTACTCTGGGAGGAGGTTACCGTATTTCGTCGAATCGGGCATCGATTCTCACGGCAAGTCTCCAACAGTTGTGTATACTAGGGTACCGAAGCCCCCCCCGCCCCCTGCGGGCGCGGGGGCTTGAATCGCAAGCGAGAGTGTAGTGACGGACGGTGAAAAGGGAGATAGAATGATGAAGTCGGCGTTGGGAAGGTGATGAGAATTTGTTCCCGTGCACAGTGTCGTGGGTGATGAGAACGCACGAGAACGCACGGGGCTCGGAGGCTGCAGGATCCGAAAAAAACATGCGGAAGGAAACTAAACACCGCGAAGAATGCCTGCAATATCTACCCCGAGCAGTGGCGCAAAACCCGCTTCTTTGTTCCACGATGCTCATGTCAACACTGTAATAATGCAATATACAACTCTGAGAAGAAAGAGATAATTCGAAGGAAACCTATACATGAGCAAGAAAAAAGAATCGGAACCCGACTTCCAACTCTGATCGAAGGGGGGGGTGGATCATCAATGATTAGAGTGCACGGATCCCATAGTGTAGTCGACAAAACTACTCATTGATGTGAAACGAACACAACACGAGCGCAACGGATGGAAGATAATGTACGTACCATATATCACTACGGATGCCCAAGGGTACAACCCGGTCCAAAAGGACCCAAAATGACAGAAAACGCGAAGCAATCACAACGTGACATGAAAGCGGACGTCTTGACGTCTGTTTGCAACAAAACGCTGTGGTCCCGTTTGTCAAGGTTCACCCCAACACTACGCGTCTATGTAGTGTATGGAGGCAACTAAAGGCTCCCCCGCCCATTCAAGCCCGAAGGAAACACAGGGGTAAAAGCATGCAAACGGCGGCATTGATGATGCAGGGCAGGGCACAAATAGCTGTATTGTATGCCTATTAGTGGGGCGAAAGCGTGCATGGTGAAATGTTCGTGAAGGTGGGACCGCCCACATTGAGGCGACCGAAAGGCGCCGCACTGTATGCGCCTCGGCGTTCCCGTTACAGACCATGTCCTTAGGGTTACTTACGTACCCGCGAGTTCCAGAGTACACATGGCCCCATGGAATTACGGGACCCTACGTCGATTTTGAGCAAGAGCAGTTTTACCGAACAAACGACCTTTTGGAAGCTGGGTTCGCTTGGCACTAACACCCTGGTGAGTGACGTTGAAAGTACTGGCGATACGCGGCAACCACAATGTACAGTTCTCTGACTGTCTCGAGTTTGAATCAAAGAATGTATAGCTTGGCGTCGAGTACAACATATTCCCTTTATCGTTCGTAAGGTAGGTGTATGTAAACAAGTTTCAACACATCTTTTGCGGTTCCGTGTGAAGAGTACCCTTGAAAAATCCGCGCGGTTTCTCTGAAAAAACGGCTTGCGCACAGCACACCCTGACTGAGAGTAAACGTTCGTCGTGTTGGGTGTGGCGTGCGTCAAAGAAAGGTCGAAGGAAGTTGATGAATGCAAAATGTAGCTGTTGTAGGCATTTCGCGTTGGAGCGGAAAAGCGAGGCACGGCGTATGGCGTGCTGACCGCGGTTGGTGTCGTCTGCATACTGCTGTTGACATGTAAGGGCCGTTTTAAACACGCTCAAAAATCAAAACTTTTGCTCAAAAGTTTGGAAGATGTCGAAACTTTCGTGCCTGCACGCAGGCGTGATGTCGAAAAAATGTCCAAAAGTTTGGAAAGAAATCTGGCCCAAAAATTTCGACGCGTTAGCGTCGAAAGTTTTGAGGGTACTTTCGACACATGTCAAAACCTTTCTGCGGAAGCGCGTGGGAGCTGCAAGTGTCATACCACGAGCTCCCTTCGCAGCAGAAGGTCAGCTAGGGTTGTCTTGGGTGATGTCTGGCCGTAGAAAGCGGCCCGCTCCAGCAGAGTCGGCGGCCTGTCCTCGCCCGCCGGCACGCCTGAGGCACACAACAACAACCGCTGAGGTTGCGGAGAAGAAGCTGCTCGTTGCGCTGGTGGCTACTGCTTTTGTTGTCGCGGCGACGGTCTTTCACGCCCTAAACCCCAAGGCAAAGGCACGGCTACCTGTCCATGAGCCGCGGCGCTTGGACTGGGACGAGCATGTGAGAGACTTGAGGCGGCGGAAGGTTTTCAGACGCATGTATCGCATGGACGAGGGCTGCTTCGACAAGCTTGCCGACCTGCTACGACCAATCCTTGAGCGCAACGACTTCTACGCAAGTGAGTGAGAGGAGCGACGGAGAGAGAGACATAGGGTTAGGGTTAGGGACAGAGAGAAAGGGAGAGAGAGAGAGAGAGAGAGAGAGAGAGAGAGAGAGCGCGCTTCACTGCTGTGTTCTGCGATGTTTGAAGCTGAGGTCCATGCTGTGTTGCTGCCTGTCTCATGGTGATGCTTCCCGGACAAACTTTTACTTTTGGTGCAACACAGCACCTCCACGACCCTGGAACAAATTATCAACGCACACCATCACTTCGCCGCCCGCTTGACACTTCGCGACAAATGGGTATCTTATGCTAGCTGTGGTGCTGCCATTGTTTGTACATTGCTTCATGGGTTACAGGGAAGCGCACGCGCCACGGAGCTGTGCCGGTAAAACATCGTCTCGCGGTTGCTTTGCGGATTCTAGCGGGGGCATCATATATGGATGTAGCGGTGCTGTTCGGCATCGCCAAGGAGACTGTCTTTCACGTCCTCTGGGAGGTGGTGGATGCTATTAACAACACGCCGGAAGTCGGACCGTTCTTCTTCCCTCAAACAGTGGAGGAATGCGCCCGGCAAGCGAAGGAGTGGGAGGTGTGTATAGGCGTTTAATGTGTGTGTGGTGTGGTGTGTGTGGTGTCTTTCGTGGGGAACGAACGTTGGTGCCGCTCCTCCTCCTCCCGGGTGGCTTCGCTTCCGCCCACCCCACCCTCCATCCTTGTTCCGGTGGGGTTCTTTCCTCTCGCCGCCCATAAAACTCTCCTCTAAGCGCCCGTACTATGGGCCTTCCTGTGTAAGTCTACGCCGTACATTGAATGAACGTCTCATGACTGCGTCGGGCATACCCAACTACTGCTGCTGGTAGTAGTCACAAGACCCCCTCTTGAGTGTTCCATGTGTTGGATAGACACAAGCCTGGTGAAACAGCTTCTTTCCCGGTGAACGCAGAAAAAAAGATCGGGGCATGCATGGATCGATTTTGTAAAAAATAATGCTCGTGTCCTTTCTGGGCGGGCAGCAACATACACACTGCTGCTGTGTACGCTCGGCCCCCCTCTCGTTACTATGCAGATCAACAACCATACGGAGACCCTCCGAAAAACGAAAGAACGTGTGCCCATTCAAATGTCTATTCAGGCGGGGGTAGCTCATGCACGAAGCGTCTAGCGCTCTTTGGGTGTGTGCGTGGGATAATAATTGGAGACCTAAAAATGTTAGCTGGAAAATGTTCTAAGGATCGCTGATGGCCCTCGCCCCATCTTCCGCCTCCGCCGACTCTCTTGTCGCCCCTTGCCGACATCGTTGTTTCCGCAACACCCATGTGTTCCTGGCAGGCGAAAAGCACCGGCGGCGCAATCTCCGGTTGTGTCGCTGCCGGGGACGGCTTGTTCGTTAAGACGATCGCTCCGTCTCCGGTCGACACCCCCAACGTGCTCTCCTACTTTTCTGGGAACAAGAGCGGGTACGGGTTGAACATCCAGGCGACGTGCGATGCGAACTACCGTTTTTGCAGTATGTCCGCCATTTCGGCGGGCGCGACGAACGACTGGACGGCATGGAATCGTTCGGAGCTATCACGCGCGGTCGCGCGCCTACCGCCTGGGTACTACATGTTGGGCGATGCGGCATACCCTCTCAGCGATCAACTCCTCACGCCGTACCCGGGGAAGTTGCTGCCACGAGACCAAGACGCTTACAACTTCTACCTGAGTCAACTGCGAGTGAAGATCGAGCAAGCTTTCGGTATCCTCGTTGGGCAGTGGGGGATTTTGTGGAGACCACTGCGGGTTCAGTTCGCCGGTCGCAGCGCCCTCATCACCGCCCTCTTTCGTCTCCACAACTACCTGCGCGACGAGCAAGTGACGCCGGTGCACCTGACAGAGGAAGACGGGGAGTCCGGTCGCGACCGTCCCGCCTTGACGACAGAGAGGACGCTGCCGGAAAGTTTCCAAACGTCCGGCGACAGTCTGCCGAAGCCAACCAGGTCGGGAGACGTTCCCACCCGCATGGCGCTGAGAATGCTGCTGGACAACAGGCGACAATACCGCCCCGAGTACAACCGGGAGCGCAACAACGCACGGGACTCGTGAAGAGCTGTCAGTTTGCGGCTGGGTGCGGGCTGAAGCCACGCTGCATTGCGTGCCTGGAAGGGAGGGCGTCCGAAAGGAGGGAGAGCAAAGCTGGAACAGATGAAGGCGGGGGGAGCAGCGTGCCACGGACGGCGTGGTTGGAGGGGCGTGAGAGAGGGCAAGGGTGGGGCGGTCGGGTGCTGGGGGGGTTGAGGGGGCTGTGTGTATTCGCCTGTCTTTCGAAGCACCGGGCTGTGGGCGGCCGTGTTTCTCGGGTGTGTTATTCAAATGGCGTGCGTGTGTTGTGTTGCTGTTTTTCGTTTGCTGCTGTGCGTACTTCTCATGTTGTCGGTTTATAGCGTTTTCCCACGCAATGAACGTGGGCCAAACCCCACTAGTGTACCCTTCGATCTTCCAGGATTCGTATGCTTGAAGCGTCGTTGTGAGACGTGCGCAAGTAACGGGCGTGCAGAGAGAAAACACTCCGCCGCCGGTTTTTCTTATTTTTTATTTTGGTACTCTTTAATATTACGGGTTTAAGGCAAAGACAACTAGAAGAACAAAACTACATGCAAACTACATGCCGAAGTCTCAACCATAGTACGTCGCCCCATCCTCGCTAGCCGTCCAACCATGGCCAACACGCCTCGCGCGGTATACCCTGTACCCTCGCGTCGGACCAACGACGTTAAGACGAAAGACAAAAAAAAAACACCGAACAACCTGCATGTAGGAATCGAGACGGTGAAATATACGAGAATCACTGAATCAACCAATGTCAAATAGACGATGAGAGAACACAAATAAGCGGAACATGCACTTCGAAGGGAGGAAAAAATCACCGGCCAACCATTGGTGTACCGACACAGTGAAAGACACAAGAATCACCGAATCAACCATGTTGACAGAAAGAGAGCACAAAATAATGGGACGCACGCACCCCGTCGGGAGACACAGATAGCCACATTTCCCTCCCCTTGGTGAGTACTGCAGCTCCAAATGGTTCAACAGCCCCAGAACACTATGAAACGACAGCAGCTCCGTCGCAGGCAGCTCCCGCTACGTGAACAGATGACGCTGGGAAAATGGCAACAAGCCGCCGCAGAACGTGATCAGACCAACAACCACGCGACAGTGGTAAACAAGCAAAAAAAAAACAACAACAACAAAATGCGGGTCCCGCACAACGTGACACGTCATATCTACTAGTCGAAAGCAAGAACAACATGGGGAACGACACCCCTTTACTCCTGTAACGCAAACACTCGCTACAACCGATTGAAGAAGAGTGATGGTGAAGCGCCACAACAAAGACCCCGCATTTTCTCCGAGAGAGAGATAGATGTTGTGCATCGAAACGCTTCACCAAGGAAGGATTGGAAATAGGCGGACCAGGAAAAAAAAAATGTTGCGAGCATATTTACGCCAAATACCCTGCCCCCGGGGCCAAAACTGAAACAAAACACAATAACAATGCAATTCAATGACAAACAGCCAACGAAGAATACTCAAAGTGCATATGTGAGCGAAGAGGCCGGCACAAGACCCGACCAAACGTACACCGTCACATGTCATACAGCACAAAGAACCAGCACAGCCGCAACAGAGTAGCGCTACTCGCCCACTAACCGATACCGTCCTCCCGCGCACCACGCACCCACGCGGGCACCGGCTACCTACCGCGCACGGTCGCATCCCCTAATCCTCACTACCTCCGGGTGTCGACAGCAACTCAAAAAGCTGGGCCCTTACGGACGAATGCTGCATTCGTAACAGCTCTAGGTCTTCCTTGTTAGCGGCATCCCCCCGCGCCTCCTCAACCCGAATATCCTCCTTGATTTCCTTGAGCTCTTTGCGGAGCTTGGTGCGTAGGTCGGTTTTCGCCGCCTTGCTTTCTATCCCGTCCTTGGTCTCGTAATATGATGTTGGAGCGTCTGTGTACGCGGGCCCGGAGGACGTGCCCAGCCCGAGTGTGGGTAACATCGTCTCCATCGCGGCCTTCGCCGTACTCGCAATCATATCCGCCTGCCTCTTCTGCTTCTTATCCCGGCCGCTCACGGCCGCGTTCCTCTCCTTCGACTCTACCTTGGCGGCCTTCCGCTTACCGGCGTCCGCGGCAGCACCGTCGGTGCCGCTCTTCTTGTCTCCCGCCCTCTCCACCCCCGTGTTCTCGCTCGCGGTGCCATCCGGGAGCATCTGGTCGCAGACCGCCAGGATGTCAGGGCACTTATCCGTAGTCAGCCCAAAGTAGTACGTGTCCAAGCTTTCTGTATTTTGTGGGGAGATTTGCGAAGGGTGGGCGGGAGGGGGGGAGGACACGGTGAGAATGCACCTCCCTCGTTGTCAACGTTCAATCAAAAACGTCCAGAGAGTCTTTGGCTTCAGCTTAGGCGTTGGCGTAACGCTCGATGCTTACAATAACATGGTGTACATGTGATGGAACGCCCCCCCCCCCATTGGGAGGAGGGAGAGGACACACGCAACAGTAATGTACACACGCGCGCTCGTACATTGAAGCGACGTCTTCAGAATCACCTCGGCTACCCGCCAACATGAACAAGGCACCGATGTTGATGCACGACAGAGACAAAATTAGGGGCGGACTACTGTATCCGACTCACCCTTGCAAAAAGAGTACATCTCTGCATTGCTCCCGGACTTTTTGTAGTTGGAGTACATCTCCCCGTGGTCCTTGAACAACTCCGTCCTCATCGTCGTGAACTTCTGAAAGGTGATGTCCGGCTGATGTACGGTGTTGGGGTTGATGCCGGCCCCAACGATGTGGTGGTCGTCTGCGAAGGAACTGGGCACCTGCAGAGTTGTTGACAGAAACCAAGCAAGAGGGGGGTCGGAGTAATGAACGGGGTGGCGCATGTGCATGTGGGGGGGGGTTAGGGGGGTCGTAGCCTTCCCTTCTTGTTTCTTCCTTTTTTTCCCATGTTCGCCGAAGGCGTTCACCAAATGAATACGCCCACCACCCCTTCGGCACAGCAAGGAAACAACATTCAGCCCCCTCCTCAGGAAATTGACAACACCAATGCTTTTCGACGTACGAAGGTTGTTGTTATTATGTCCACACAAAAGTACACGACAAAAAAAAAAAGTCTATCCAGTAACTCCTCGTGCCACTACTCATCAGTAAGAATCCAACGCTTGACGTTGCGTAGCCACGGGCCTTCTCTCCTCGACAGAAAGGTGTGCCCATAATAAATGGATCCCAAGGGTCGGCAGAGCGATCAAGTCCAAGAAACAAGGAACAGAATCAACACTCGGCTTCCATCGACACGCTAGTCTATACGATTGCTGTACGCTAGCCCAAAAAAAAACGCAAACAGAGGCAAAAAAAAAACAAACGGAACAAAACGAAAAAAAAAACGCAACTCCAACAGACGGGAACCGACCCTCCGGTACAAGGGAAGCAGACAAACGACTGACCAAAAGAGGCGGGGGTACATGCCGGAAAAGCCAAACAAAAACACTACAACTAGCGATTCCAAAAAAGAACAGTCCCCAACCCGCAATTCGGCGCCACCACAAAGCACTGTGGCCCGCACGATCAACACCACCGCAGCAGCAGTCCCGAGGAAAAAACAAAAGGGCCAGAACAAAATGGAGGTAAACACCTCACCTCGAAACTCTCATCCTTGAACGCCTCCCACAGCTCGAGATGAATATCCCGATTCGTCCCCGTCTGCTTGGCGTCGAGCTCCCTCCTGCTCAGCTGCGTCCTACTCTCGCAGAACCTCTTCCTGAACTGCTGGTGCATCAGTAGCTCACAGAAGCGAGGTACGCAGTGCTTGCTCTTCCTCCGTTGTCCGATGCTGCTGCTGTTGTCAGCCCCATTCTGCCTATCTTCCTCCTTCATCGCCTCCATGATGGCGGCAGCCGTGTACGACTTGTCGCCGCAGTCGTACATCTTCGTCGGCGCGGGGGAGGCGCCGGCGTTGATTGCAGCACGTAGCGCCGCAATGAGGTGCTGTGGAACTCGCTGCGCCTCCGCCGCCGAGGCTGGTGGCTTCGAGGGTGCCGTTCCGCCTGACAACATTGACAGCGCGAGTGAACGAGGATGGGCAGGGTCGTGCCGGCGAAGGTACGATCGCGAATTATTTTTTGGTAATCTAGTCGTGTTGACTATAATTGTCTGATACGAACTACAGAGGAAACCCAACGAAGTACAGTATTGATTGTAATCGTACTGTGCCCAAAGAACACAGAAACGTGGGTACCGTGCGTCGCTCTCCTCTTTTACATTATTATGATGTGACACCTCAACATAGAGAACGGCGCGGCTCTTCATCAGCATGTTGGAGCTTCTTGTTCACACCTAAGCTACCTCACTTATACTCGCTGACTCGTCGTAGGTCGTACGGACGTACCTACACGTGCATGGATCAGAGTTGCAAGCATCGACGCCGGTCCTCCCTCTCACACCCACCCTCCAAAAGAAACGACTCCATCTGTCTGTTTACGGTTTTGTTCCCACCCCTCTGTCGAAGGCCCCTAGCATACTCACGCTTTTCAATGGTAAAAGTTGTCTACCATGCAAGTGAACAACTTAACTACCCAGGGAACTCCACAAGTGCCATAAAAGCATTGTTGTGCGAGAAGAGGCTCGTACCTACATCGCAACAGCAGTGTCGTAGTGTCTTCGTATGTATAATAAGTCTACACCCGAAAAAAAGGCGTGCGGAATATGTTCTCTGCTTCGTTGGTGTGCACCTACCTGTTGCCCTGTCTTCCAAATCATCGAAGTACGGGCTGTCCCTTTCCATGACCACGTCCAGCTGCGTCAGCGCCTTAGCCATGGCGGTCGTATCTGACGACCTCGAGTACCCGCTGATCTTCCGCAGTCCGCAGGCCTCCTTGAGCAGGTACGCCGCCCACTGGTCGTAGCTCCTGCCGCGGTGACGCTTCAGCGATTGTTGGAACTGTCTGAGCCTTTGCGCCCCCGCTTCGACGGGGGAGCTGCTGCGAGATCCGCTCGATCCGCTCGACCGGCCCGCACCCGCTCCGCCTGCTACCTTGCCGAGGACCCGACCCTGACGAGGGTTATGAAGACTAAATTCCTCGCTGTCGCTGTCTTCATTGGTGCTGCCGCCATCGTCGTTGCCGCCGCCGCCCTCCACGTCGGCATCGCTTGCTGCTTTTTCTTCGGACCCGGTGTCGGAACAAAAACGGGAGTCAATCATGATGGCTTGCACTTCAGCATCGAGGTGCTGCTCCCCCTCCAGCGCCTTGCCTTTTCCCTTGCCCGACGAGGCACGGACGGTGGGCGCCACCCGACCGGAGCTGACAGCTCCGCCCTCGCTCTGGTTGTTGGTGGCGACAGCGACCCCCCTGGTCGAACGAGACGCGGTGAAGCCAGGGAGGAGACTCGCTGTGGGCGCCAGCCCACCGCCGCCTACAGCGGCGCCGAGAGACCCGTTGTTGTTGTATTTCGCCGGGGGTTTGGTCTGTCGACCACTGTGGGTTTTCGTGGGCTCCGCATTGGTCGCCATGGCTGGTGTTTTCCGCGTTGTGTAGGGTGTTGTGGGGGCGGTTTGGTGTTGAGTGCAGCTCCTCAGCACGGACGGCGTGCATTTTTGTATTTTTGAACACTTGCACGTCACAGCAGGTTTGAAATGAATCTTGGAGGTGTCCAAAGTTTCGATCCAAAGTTGTCCAAACTTTGGAGCCAAAGTTTTGAATCTTTGAGCGTGTCTAAAACGGCCCTAACAGGAATGTTGCAGACTATGTTTGTTTGTACTCCTTCACGGCTTGACGGCCTTCCGCACTCGTTGTATGGCTGGGTTACAGACGGAATCGTGTGGTGACCACATGCAGAACCCATACACACAAGACGTGTTGAGGGTGTTGGCTTCTTTTTACATTGCGGAGACAACTGAAAGTTTGTTGTCGAAGACCGAATAAACTGTAGTTTATTGTGCACGGAAGAATTCGGAACATCTCCCAGATCTACGTCTGTATTTGGGTTCTTATTGTGCCGCCCTGGAGGCGTGTTGATGGGGTTGTCTTGGTTTGGTTTTCTGGGGTTTTGCAAAGAAAAATGTCCCACGGAGTTCTCATGCTGCTGCCTCGCTGCTCCTGCAGCAAGAGTTCGATAGGCGCGTGTCTACTGGACCAAGGGCCACGTGTTGAGGAATGCACAGTGTGTAGCACGCAGCCCGCGTCGGAGGGCAGCTAGTGCGTACCATGGGGAGGCTCAATCGTCCGAGACTGCTACTGCTGTGCAACAGTTTTGTCCCGTCCGGTAGTATTCTGAGGGAGATATTGTGCCTTAATTCTAGCAGAGACACGTTAGGATACCGCGGAGGCTTTGTGCCGTGCGGAACGTGTGGCACGAGGGATGTCTCCCTCGGTAGGCCACAGAAGCATTAATCAAGGCAATTCGAAAGAAAACAAACGGCACTTCTCTGTGTTGCCAACTCTGTGCTCCTCCTGCGCTTCGGCGCGGGTGTGCGCACACGCGGCTGTCTTGCATGTCCCACGGATTGACCAAGCGCCATACTCGTAAACTCGCCAACGCGCCACCTAACTTCCGAAACGAAACATGTCTGAGACGAGCAAAGGTCAACACTGATCTGCCGCGTAACCACGCCACAAAAGATGTGTGTGTACGTAAATAGTACGCTGCTCAAAAGACCATTATTATTTTTTTCTCTCATCACTGGACTCTGTCGTCTGCCCCTCTGGCCCCTATCCTCCACTTTAACCAGCTAGACGACCCAACCGGGGTCACATAGGAAGGAGGGGTTGGACCCCCTCCTGCGGTTCCTGCCTGAAATATTTTGTCGGGAGAAGGGTACAGCAATCCCTTCCCTCGCGACTTATGAAGTCGATTATGGTTTACTAACAACAAGCTTTGCCGCGCGTCGCTTCCAACGGAGACCAGGATTTAATTAGCGAGGAAAAACTCGCTCTGTCAGGACTGGAACCATTGACCTGGCCCTTAGCAGACTGCGAGGCTACCCACTAGACCACCGGGCGGGGCGAACCATACGTTTGTCTACAATTCCTTACCACACTCATCCGATCACGACCAACGCTCAAGTGTGGGAGTACATGTTCGGTTGGTCAATCGGTTTGGCAGTTGGGGGCAGCCCAACGCCGTCGCACTTTCTCACACAACAACAAAGGTGTGCGGTGTGTGCAAGAAAAAACACTTCTTTGAGTATTTAACTTGCGGTGATTGCAAATATCGTCCACTTATTTCAGTGGCCATAGCATAAGCTCTGGCTTTTGACGACTGCAGCGCAGATCCGAGGCCAGGTTATCCCATCTGACAACTCGGGACCCCGGGTTCTCAGTAACGACTGCTGTAGCTCGGGTAGCCCCATTTCTCACCGGAAGAGGGGGAACGTAAGAACCCACTCCACTTGTTTTCAGCTCCTGAAGCTGGCACACCGCTAGAAGCTTTCAATGTGACCACCTCGCTGGTTGTCTCTGCTCTACCTTCTCTCTCTGGCATGCTAAGACTCTGTGGACACAAGGCTTGAAGGGAATGGTAACATATGCGACTTCTCCAATCGACCGAGGGGCCCCCGCAGTATGCAATACGTTCCGTGAACCCCAACATAAACAGCATGGCAATTCGAACTGTTTCAAAAACCGCGGTTAGTTTCGCTTACCCCTTTGGGTACGTCTTAGACAAACCTGCCCTTTTAAGTAAAACTTCGTTCAGCGACAATGAGTTTCACTGACGTCCTACGCGTGGTCATCACACCCTACGATGTGTGCTCTTGTAGATAGTGCACGTATTGCGGTGGCGCTGTGGCGAGCTCGTGCCGGCCGCTGCGGTCGACATGAGAAATCACTTCGCCACAAGCCGAAAAATGACGCAAAATGCCACCTCGTAGGTTGATGGAGTACTTCCCACAACTTTGATGTCCTTGGCAAACAGTACCCCCTTCATGCACCTGAAACGTGTCCGTGCGATGTGACTACCACGGCGGGATATTGGCCTGTAAAAGACATGCCGCCCGGTCTACCAGCTCATTGAAACACCGCGTGTATTGTACCGTGTGTATTGTTGTTGGTGGTGGTGCTCTGCTGCTGATGACAAAATCCAATCCCATGAGAAGCGGAACCGAAACTGCTGCACTCCACACGGCAGATTGCTACTGCTGCTGTGGCCAACATCAATTGCCAGTGTCGGTCGCATCGGAGGGTTCCGTGTGACGTGTTGCATGTGGCATGCCATATGTAAATGCATGCATACATGCGCATGGTACATAACGTTCTGAAACATTCAACCGCACCCTTACGCTTCACAATGTACTTTGATATGAACGAGATATAGGTGCAGTCAACCGCTCGAACACGGAACGTCATGGAACGCTCGCGAAAAAAAAGACAAACGCACACGGCCGTCTTCTCGGTGATGCCGTAGAAGGTTTCCACAAAAAAAAACAATGTGGCGGTCGCTCGAACGGTGCCCTGCTGGTGAGCACTTGGTGGCGTAGGCCTCTCCTGTTCAGTAGGAAGTCGGGTCCGGAACAACGCAAGGTGAAATTCAAACGAGTTTGCTGGAACGGAGGCAAGCTTTGAGATTGCGGCGATGCCGCAGGAGGTTACCGAGGGAAGCAATCAATTTTTAAAAGTTGTCGCTCGAACGGTGCCCTGTTACAAAGTTGTCGGGTGGCTTAGGCTACCGCCCCCAGCTCAGTAGGTTAGTCGGGTCCGGAGTGCAGCAAGAAGTCGCTCGAACGGTGCCCGACTCTTGAGCTGGCCGCTGGCTTCGGCCATCTCCGCCAACTCAGTAGGTTAGTCGGATCCGGAGTAAAACATGAAGGCTCTAGCACGGTGCCCTGTTGCTGAGCTCGGGGCTGTTTTGGCCACCGCCGCCAGCTCAGTGAGTACTCGGATCCGGAGCGTAAAAGCAATAATAACAACTGGCCGCCGCTGGAAAGTTTCGGCACGTAACGTATTCCGGAGCGCAGCAACCAACCATGTCGCTCGACTGCCTCTGAAAACCCGGCGCCATGCCTTGAACAACGAAGAAACAAGTTGCAGTCGCTCGTGAAGAACATAAACAGCGGAAAAGCGACATACAATCGTGTGAACGGTGCCCTGTTACTGCGTTTGGGGCTAGCCCTGGCCGCTGCTGCAAACTCAGCAGGTGTAGTCGGATCCAGAGTGCCAGGAGTGTCGCTTGAACGGTGCCCTGTTGCTGATTGCATGGCTGGCTTCGACGTTCATGTAGTTGAATGTTCGAGCGCCATATTGGGACTCGGTCACTCCAGACGGCTGCGTGCAGCAGTAGCCGGTTTTCCTCTGGCTGGATGTAGCTGACTTACGTGGGGAGAGAGAAAGAGACCCTGATGCTCCTAGCATGGTCGTCGTGTCGTGACACATGGAAAAATATGTGTATGGTGGCTAGAGTATTGTTTTGGGCACAGCAACATGGACCAGACATGGATGAAGAACGTATATCTACCGCGACGACCATTGTAAGATGAAGTTACACCTTTAAACTAGTCAGCGCTGACTAGTCTAATGGTTGAGCGATTGGCGACGAAGGATTCACGCACGAGGTCAAATACCGGCTGGATCACTTTTCCTTCCAAAAAGTGCACATGGAACTATCAGCGTCTGGCGAGGGGTCCGTCCCCGGAGATCCCTGCTCTCAATAAGCCATAGAAGCCCAAGTGATCCTGCCGGGTGGCAATGAGCTGATCGTATATCTTTTGTAAGGTAAAGCTACACCATTGGACTAGTCAGCGTGCATCTTTTGTAAGATAAAGCGCTGACTAGTCTATTGGTGTAACTTAACCTTACAGAGGGGTTGTGGTCATGTGGCGCAGCGATTGCGCTATACGCAGCCAACAGATTCACTATTTGAACAGGAAACGATTGAGTTAGTCCCTTTGCGCGGCGACCACAATATGGCGACACGTATGTGCATCTGTTGGTCGGCAGGATCATGTGACAGTGCACGACACGCGCACGGTTGTTCGCATTGCATTGAAGTATGCTTCGTCGTCGTAGGGGTGATCCCATGCAGTCATGGTCGTCGCGGTAGGCAAACCATCTTGGTCACGTGTCCTGTACTTCTCACATGATGCTGCAACCAACCAATGCACGTCTACATGTCGCCATGTTTGGTCACCGCGCTAAGGGACTACTTGGTAATGTCTTCTACCTGGCACTACAATACTATAAGGTAACCGAAACGTACCGATTGATACGGTAATACGCATATTCCATTGCAGCGACAAAATTGCTCCTATTCTTAAACCAGGGCAAAACACGTCCTGTCGACAAACGTTGCGGCACGCTGCGGCAGTGTTCACAAGTATTTGGGCTAATTCTACCTCCAAGCACCATAACAGTAGCCTACCCTGAGTGGTCGGAGATTCAGATACAGAAGCAAACCTCGGAGGGACTCTAGTCAACCAAACCAATTGCGGGATGAATCGAAGATGCAACAACTCATAACCCTCACCCGCACCTCCTCTTCCTTAATCAAACAAAAGAAACAAAGAAAACAAACGATCTGGGGGCGGCAAAGTCGGCGGAAAAAATCGAGAAAAGGCACGCGGGGTGCAAAAATAGTCAAAACATCTGCACCTAAAAGACCTTAACACGAAGTAACGAAATCCGGAAAGGAAAGTTACAACCATCTCGTACGAATGAACAGGTCGACTACGCCCTCAAGTAAGCCAAAACCTCCCGGGTCATCACAGAATGTGGCGTCTTGCAGCGGAGGTGGCGGTGCTTCTGTAGCTCGTAGACTTTGTAGTCTACCACAGAGGTTACACTGCTGTCACCGCTCTATCACAGAGGTTGGTCTACACTGCTGTGAGATCGGTAGGCCCGAGCAAGCTTTGGAAAGAGAAATGCAGATAGACGTTCTTTATCAACTGACTCCCTGGTCAGGCTTTGATGGGTGCTAGATGAGAGTGAGCACAAGGGGCGAAGGCGCGCTTGTGTCTCATCTCAAAAAAAAAAAAAAAAACAAGCAGCAAAAACACAGCGGGTTCCGAGTCTCCGGAGTAATGGCCCGTGTACCGGAATTTCGGGGTTCGGAGCAATAAAACAACTACAGTCTCGCCTGCCAAATTCTTGACAATCTGCAATCGCTGCGTCATGGATAACTTGTTTTTGCCGGTGTACCGTCCGGGCTTGGACACCCGGACTTTTTTGGCGACACTACCTGTGCCGTCTCCCGCGGCACCTCCGCCGCCGTCACCCGCTGCGCCTCCGCCGCCCAGCCCCGCGGCACCTGCGCCGCCTCCCCCCCGCGGTGCGTTGAGGCCGTCCCCCCTTCCTTCCAGTCTCTGACTCTTTGCCCCCAGCCGGTTGCCTCGTCCTGCGCTACAAATTTTGCAAGAGACGAGGGAATTGTGACATGTCAGGGCAGGTTGGCAAATACACCCACATGCTTAGTTCCGGGGAACGAGAGTGCTCGCACCTACCGCCGAGAGACTGCACGTAGGCCAGCAGCTACAATTTACGCTGAATATCAATAAGACAATAGAATATCACGACTGCGTCTATTTTGTATTTTTTTCAAGTTCGAACCGTAAACACCAGAGTCTCTGAACGTAGAAAAGTTCACTTTCTATCAGCGTTGAACAACGAGAATCCCTTCGGCAGCGCGGCATGCGAACTGCTTTAGGCGCAAGTTGCGTGCCAACAGATGCACAGCAGAAGCGAGAGTCTTCACTTGGTTTTTGACGCTCACTTCAATGACACACACACCGACACATATTGACGATCTTTTGTCGTGACAAAAAAAAAAAAAAAACGCACGCACGTAGCCTTGTGCGGACAATCTCACCTGGCATGCTGACACTGCTGTTGTTTGACGATAATTGGACGACGGCAAGGATATGCAATTTACATGTAACATCGTGGTGCACGCTTTCCTGCTCAACAGCTCAACAGCACGCGTTCGGCCGATGGCTGCTGCTGCTGCTGCTGCTGACTGCTGTAAATCACATTCATCACCTGCTGCTGTTGTCCTCGTTGTCGCTACTGCTGTCCACCTCCATGGGACTTGTGCCGGTGCCGATGTTGCCTGTAGTCGTTCTCCTCTGACAACCTGTGCAATCTCTCTGCTGCCCGACGCCTTCCTCACCGATTCCTCGGCCACAGAAGCCATGCATCGGCCGCCCGCATGGGCACTGGTGAACTGCGGTGATAGTAGAGATCTCATCGCACACGTTGGTTCTCCACATGTTTTTTTGGCGGCATTCGATGGACCGCCGGTAGATGGGAGGAATCAATCCATATCAACACCCAGTTACAGCTGCAGCAGCAGACCGCTCGCTACTTCTGCTNGTTGCCTGTAGTCGTTCTCCTCTGACAACCTGTGCAATCTCTCTGCTGCCCGACGCCTTCCTCACCGATTCCTCGGCCACAGAAGCCATGCATCGGCCGCCCGCATGGGCACTGGTGAACTGCGGTGATAGTAGAGATCTCATCGCACACGTTGGTTCTCCACATGTTTTTTTGGCGGCATTCGATGGACCGCCGGTAGATGGGAGGAATCAATCCATATCAACACCCAGTTACAGCTGCAGCAGCAGACCGCTCGCTACTTCTGCTCTCTGTGCGTCGACACTTCTGCACTCACTGTGGTGCGTGGTGCGTGCAAAGAGCGGCCCGCAGGACACCGACAAAAGGGGGTACGCGGCAGACAAAAGTGGTACTCCAGTATGGTACATTCCGCCGGGCCCCCTGGTGCTCAGAGAGGTTTCCTTGAAGCGGGGAGTTCCCTTCACACGAGCGTCCTCAAAGCGAAGTCGACTGTGCAAGGACACTGCTGTCTATCCCCAGCATCCTCCTCATCCATTCAAGTACTTGTCGACGCGTGTCCATTGTATTCTAGCGCGCTTAGACACCATGCAGATCTCTTCAGACTTCGTTATTTGTCATATGGTGACGGAATGGGACCAGTCTACTTACTAGATTTCCTTCAATGATTAACGCGGAACACTTCTGGGGTACTGGTCTCTGCTGCTGTGGAGAAATGTCGGGATGCAAATAATTGCCGATGACCTCGGGGACAGTTCTAACCCCTTACCACCTCATCATCCGGTCGGCTTGGTTTTTCGGGGATTTTTGTGCACTGGGTGACACAACAACAATAGTAAAGTCATCCGACGGTAGCTGTGCGTACGATCCCGCATGTGGGGTGGTTGCTACACAGCGTGAGGCGCTGGGTGGTTTAGAATTGAAGTTGGGGAGAGGGGCAACTGCTGTTCGAAAAAGACCCCCCGCTCGAACCAACAGCTTTTGACAGATTCTTGCTCCATCCCAGCTTTGGTCTCGTAGCGACCCCTCTTCACTAACCGAACCAGCAGATACTACAAGGCCAGCCGGCCGCAGCTGTGTGTATGGTGCCTCTTGTGGTGTTTCAGAGACCTTGACGCACTGAGAGGCTGAGCCACGAAGTTGGTGAGGATCGACTGACTGCTTATGTGTCAGCTGGCCATCATCTTGCTTTCAGCGCAACTGGCCACACGGCAACCACATGTATTCGGCTGGGATGGCAGCATAAAGTGCTTCGAGGGTTGGTCGGAGTGCTTGATGAGCTCGCTACGACCAGTACTTGCTGCGCAATCTATGGTTGTGCCCGCGTGGTGTGGGTTTCGAAACGCAAAAATCAAGCGCGCCATCCGATCGAAAATTGTTATAATTTCCAAACGCATGATGACCGGTTAGTAATAATAATGTGAAATCGAAAAAATGTAGCCGGAAAAGTGTCATTTCTGATCTTACAAGAAAAAGATTTGGTCTGAAATTGGAAATGCACATGTTTGTACTGCATTTCCGAACCGTGATAAGAAACCGCCTTGTTACAGCGAAAACAGTTCAGTAGCAGCAACTGAAAACAATCATGGTCAGAAGCGCCGGATCAGAAGCAGTAACAGCAACCGTCATTTTCCTGTGAAACTAACAGAGCGGTCCTTTCCCTACGGAACTCTCCAAACAGAGCTATGCGCTCGCGGGAGGAAGAGGGAAGGAGGGTGAGATGAGGTCGGCAGACATGTGGACCTGCCCTGAGACCAGGCTCGAAGAGGAGATGTTGGCACCCAGGACATCTGCGCAGCTGCCGCCCCTGACAAACGAAACGTGAGAGATGAGAGTAAAGCTCAGGGAAGCCTTTCGTGATGGGGGGTTGAATGTTTGCGGGAGAGGGGGATAAGGTCTCTCCCCCCGTTTTCTCGATTCGAACCACCATGCTAGGGATACTTCCGAAGGTGGTGTACTTCTTTAAAGTACGATTACTCATTCACGACAAGACCCCCCAGCAACAACACAATGACCCGTTACATTGGAGGTCGTCACCTAAGCCGCCGCGGGTGTGTTCGTGAACAGGCTGGAATATTCCGGGAGGGTTTCGTCCGGCCCAAACGGCGTTCAATTTTGCAGCGCAGACCGGCATCCTAGTCGGGTATGTGTGACCACCGCAGCCTTAGTCCAATCAATTAACGGCTATAATGGTGATGTGTGAACAGATCCCTCCCCTCTTCCCTCCCTCCCCCGTCCGCTTACCGCGCCCCCTTCCGAAAACACGGCCAACCTCGACTTGCAGCCGGGAGTGGCTGGCTGAGTCCGAGACGATCGTCGTCATGGAACCGTCCCTTCTATTCTGCGCCGCCCCAAACACCGGCTCGTTGCAGTTCAGGATGCTCGCGAAACGGATGCAGGTATCGTGTGATTTTGATCACGTACCTACAAAATGTCGTCCAAGTAAGGCAGCACGTGCGATCGATATTGATTTTCCGGTCGCAAATATATTTCGGCAACACCCCAAACGCCTTCAACAATGCGGCATACTTGCGTCCAGTGTGATGTCGTGGGCAGTTGTGTTGTATGTGTTTGCCGGTGTCTTCCAGTACATAACAACGTGAACATGGATGAGTCGGAAACCGCCGAGAAATATTCTTTATTGGTTGTGGGAGACGAAACCGTTCTACCGGATGTATCAGTGATCAGTCATGTCGCCCTGACATCACCCGAATTCCCGGTCGGGTAGCCCTCGAAAAACAGCTGGCACAGCGGAACAGATGTGATACTACGACGGTAACGGGCATTGGTGAAGCGTCCGTAACCCTAAGTGGGCATTGTAGATGGTACTTTTCTGTTGCCAGGGTGCGAAAAGGTGTGTTGGGTACTCGGCACTGAGTACTGATGTACCGGAATTTGGGGGTTACGTGGATGCGTGTGTAGTGTGAAGGCAGATAGACGGCGGTGTCCTCCGCAGGTTCCTGGGCTCCTTGCTTCCCCCGTCTACTTTCTCTACTCCCCGCGACACGGCACGAAGACCCTACTGCACCCAGTGCACCAATAGATAAATAGAAGCAATCCGTTGTAAAGAATCGATCGTACAAAAGCAAGAAAAGAGATGTGAAGTAGCAACGTGAAACTGGAATCTTTTTCTGTTTTCACCGACGTAGACCGTGTGTCACTATCATCAGCATCGACCAATTAAATGACGCCAGTCTCAGTGGCACCTTGACCCGAACATACTCTCAAAGGCCTTAATCCGGGACCCTGTGCGGGGGTGCGACGGGAGGGGCTGAACTACTCTGCGGTTGCAAGACAGTAAGCATGTCATTTTTCACGTGTCTACCAGGCCGCTGCTTGTACTCGTGTTGGTGTTGGCCACCTTTGCGTATTGTTGCCCATTCAATCTTCTCCTTTCAATTTACTACTCTCGTCGCAGAACGCTTCGCTTGGGGCTTAGATTAGAGTCCACTTCACATAAGCCGCATACGGGGGAAACATCGTATGCTACTGGTGACGATGTTTTCCGCATACTTGCAGCAGGTTAGTTGTACTCTTCTCCTGATCAATTTCATACGAATGTACGTCTTTGTGTGATCATGGATTGGGGGGCTGCAACAAGAGAATATTCCATCTCGCGTACAGGGTACCCAGACGAAAACGGTGCTTCCTCCGCGGACCCCCTGTGATTCTTTTGCGTTTAGAATACCGCTACCCCCCTCCCCCGAACGCGCGAAAATGTACAAAACACGAGGTGCAAGAGGGTTGGTTTTCGAGCACCCTTGTTTCAGCGACTCGGGATAACAGTATTCCTTGACAAATTTCTGACAGACGCTATTGATAGGTGGTATGAGTAGCTACGACGATGATAGTTTCTTGAGAGAATGCATTGTTTGATTCTTGGAAAGTAGCCAAAATTAAGCATGTTTGGATAATGCCCAGAACGAAGGATAGTTGACTCCCAGCGGAAGGAGGAGCATTGGGAAGGTGTCATCTCCATCCGTTGGTCAAGGCCGTTGTTTGGTGGGCATACAGGGCACCCGTGGTGGCTTCTTATACGCATGGTGCCCATGTGACTTGAGTTCCTTGAGACCACGAGCAAGAGGCAAGAAAGGCCTGCTGCAGCCTATTGTCCATGTCTGCGTACCCCCCGGAAATCTCGGAGATTCGTACCCAACCGCGTACTCGGTACGAGGTACGATCAAGAAAACCTCCCGTAACACGGCGACAAGCATAAAACATTTCATCTCTCAACTCCACAAATCGCCTCAACTCCCGGATCTATCGAACTTCAAATTTCAGGATTCCTCCTTCAGGATTCCTCCTTTCTTCCCATGTATGGAACTTCACCATGAGCCTAAACAGTCACCCTCTCGAGAAAATGTCATCATCAAATTCTCAAGCAGCCAAAACAACGAATCATCCTTGGAAATACCCAGCATAGATCAACGTTACATCAAAGCCGCGTCGTGAACGCTCCGGACGGACAACTCTGGGAAAATGCGTTAACAAATACTTCGAACAAAACCCTCCCATAAATGGCTTCTTTCAAATTGTTTTGATCAATATTTCTGTGGCCTACCGAGGGAGACTTCCCCGGTACCACACGTTCTGCACGGCACACAGCCTCTGCGGTGTCCTAACGTTCCTCTGCTACTAAAACACAAAATTTCCCTCCGAATACTACTAGACGGGACGACACTGTTGTACAGCTACAGTCTCGGACGATTAAGCCTCCCAATGATACGCACTACCACTCCGAAAACACCCAATTCGAAGTCTTGCGAAATCTGCTCCGGGATACACCAGTAAAATCCGTCGGGTCGTCCGATCTCGTGTATCACCCTGACATTATCAGTACAGAACTGGTACGAAACGCACCCTGCACGCAATTTGAAAGCGGAACAGGACGGCACAGCTCAGCCGTTGGGCTTCGTGCCGCGCCACCCGCCTAGGAAAATCCCCAAATCGGGGGACTCAAAGAGTTCCTTCACCAAGAAGCACAACGGCGAGCGCTACCTCAGGGGGATCCCAGTGTCTCTCGGCGGTGGCGTGCAGTACCGATTGGCGATGGCCAGCTGTGGTGCACTATGAAGCGCCTAGTGTCGTTTGCCTTGCCCTTCTTGATCACCATGGGTCCAGCGCCGCACGTTAGTTTCATGGTTCGCATGATGCCTAGGATATCTCACTACACGGGGAAACACGACGAAAAGCACGAAGCAGAAAAAAGAAATAAACCCGAAGGAAAGCGACAGGTATCGTGCAGCCCGGGTTTCCAAATCTCGTGGGCATCCGAACATAGCCGGGACAGTTTGCATGGGATCAAGCGACGCGAGAGGCATGGTATCGTTTGGTATCTTCTGTCACGTAACGTACACATGTGTGTCTGCTGTCTCAGGACCGTCTCTTCGTACCTACATTTCCACCTCAGATTCTATCACGTTATGCGTTGGTTCTATCACGTTTGGTGCGTTTGGTGGAGAAGCGGTTACGCTTGGTTATGCGTAGATATTCGACTACCAGCAACCTCGTACAGGGTGGCCTCATGATGAGGATTTATGTAGGTACAGCAGTGGACCTCGATTCCTGTTCGCCTGCCGCTCGGTTGCAGAAACCGAGCATTGGCGGAGGCAGACGAGAAGTACAAATAGGAGCGCACAGCAGAGTGGTGTCGCGTAGACTGGGGTTAAGAGGGCTTCGAAAGCACATCGGCCTCACCATGTCGTACGAAAATATATTGTTGATAACAACCAACAGTAGGAAATATGGGGAAAAGGTACAAAGTGCAATCCCGCCGTCAAATTAAGAACACCAGAGGAAACTTTCACCAATGGTTATGCCGCTTCGAGACATGGATTTCTCAACAGTTCTCCTGCTTCATTTTCTCCCACAACCTAGAATGTTCACAGCCCCCCTGCAGCATTATCGCCCGAAGCTATAAGCTTCAACGGCCCTGCTGCATTATCTCCCAAAAATTATCATCTGAATCCTCCCACTGCTCCATTTGAATCCCTAGACAACGACGAAACAACGTACAGGAATTCAAGGATAAACCGAACTCAATCGTCATGCTAAAAACCACAGATAGGTAATACTGCTGCGATGTCACTCAGGTATCCCCGCCGATAATTCTTAGCAGTACCTGAAACATGACAATATCAAGACAAGCTGAACACAGTGGACCAAATTATGGCCACCAAACATCAGAATTATCAACGAAGCATCCAAAAAGCCGTCAAAAATTCTTGACAAAGGTGCGGTGGACGGAAAAAACCTCCTTGTGCAGAGGTTTCGTAAGAAAGTCGTCTTGCTGCAGATGCGACGGAAAAAAATGACCTTGAACTCTCCCCGGTCTACACGTTTCCGGATGAAATGGTGGACGGGATGTTGGCCAAGTGACGCGCTCGATACTGTCCTTCTGAACAACATTGTCCCCACATCCAGAGATACATCAAGAATTTCGCCTCCTTCATGCCATCGACCATTGCAGCGTACCCATCTTCCACAGCAGACAGCGTGACACTCTCCTGAGTCCGTGTCGGAACCCGCACAAAGGAGAACACCTTCCGACACCGACCTCCCGTCTGTCCCCTTGTTAGCGTAGTCCGAATCCGCCTACACCTCCCAGTTAACACCGCGTTGCGTACCCCGCTGAAATATAGTACCGTAGGCCCTTGTAAATCTAATGTACATCAAACACAACGCAGCCTTCCAGTCCGCGGACGAGGGCGCGGAAGAATACCACGCAACGGCTCGAATGGCGTAAAGGATATCCGGGCGAGTTTGATTCACATGTATCATCAAGTGCCTCAACAACAAACGAAACGGTTGTTCAAGGTCGGGTTCACACGCATCAAACCTCTCACGTTTCACGCCAACGGCCGTGGGGGCTTCTTGGTTACGATTGGCACCAAACTTCGCGACGATGTTTGCGGCATACGTCTATTAAAATAGAGTACTGGTACCCTCAGCAAACTCACGAGCAAAGTTCTGCAAGGTAGGTGATGGCAACGTACTCGTTCAAGGCCCTACCAAATGGGTCACACCGACTCTTCTTCCCGAAGGAAAGATTTCATCCTCATGGACGACAACGACCTTGGCGAAAACCTCCTCCGCGATCAAGCGCATAATGCAAGCGTCGGTAGCATACTGTTGAATCCCATGACACTTAATGTCCCGAACCAAGTGTTTTATGCCATGTGCTAGATTGTCGAGAAACGGTCACCCCGCAGTCTTGGTGACCGTGACGGTATGCGGTATGTATCATTTGTGCATGTGGCCCTTGTTGTGCACATCTGCCAACTGAGTCGATACCGCTCTACAGAAACTCTGGAGCGCACATCCCCGGTACCCCCCATCTTTTGTGTATGCCGTGTTGAGCAGCGAATTTCACGAACATCTCCCACATTCGGCCGTAATCGCATCGAAGGGCATCCCGCACTGGTCGACGTCCAACAACCGGTCTCTGCTGTTCGATCGAGAGGCCTCGGAATTGGAACTTCTTGACACGACGGACGGGCAGTTGATGAAGGAGATCTACTCAGAAAACGGGTCCGGCTGGATCAAGATCGCGGTCGTGCGCGACCCGGTGACCCGACTGCTGTCGTCCTACCTCGACCTTGTTGACACTTGGCGAGCACGCCTGATACTACAATGGCAACCGCCAGCTAATGACACGCAGGTGTGTTGTCTGTGTGCACCTCTTGAAGTAGCATCGGCCAATAAAATGCCGTTATGCTTTGTGTGTGAACAAATACCGTCGTTTGACCACTGTCACCCCTCGCAAGTCGTTCTTGCGTCGCATTGATTTTTGTCCTTTCTTCCAGTGTTGTTCCCTGAGAAGAATGGCAGTCAGATAAGGGAGAGGCTGCTGAGGGCTGCTACGCAACTCGGTGGCTATCAGGTACACGTCCCGGGTTTCGATGACAACATACTACATGCAAAGTTTTAGGATTGGCCCCCCGTCCCCCAATGGGGCGGGCGGCCATCACGAGACGGATGGCGGTGAGGGTTTGGGAGGAAGCGAAGTATAACAAGAAGAATGAAGACGACCGTACTCTATTTAGTCATACTGTAGGTGGTAACCAAAGAAAGAAAGTCTATCGACGTAAACGAAAGGGCCGAATATATCATTTGAAACTGCTTGCGAAGACTGGACTGCCTCTCGCTGTTTTGTTTTTTAATTTTTTAAGAAGAAATACAGTGTGACGTGACGCGCATGACCATTTGCCCGTTTTTGTTCTGCTCATGCAACGTACGTTCGTTCAGACGTGCAGGCACTCATGCGTTGCCTGTGCAGTTCCACCAACCTGTGCCAAACAAACTTTCTAATATCGCGAACCATCGAATTGAAGATCTCCATGGCAACCTCGGTACATCCTACATGGTTGGCTCTTTCGTCTGTGGCGCCCAAAGAATACGGAGGAGGCACACAACATTTGACTACGTGCTGGCTCCTGTGACAATGTTGCTGGACACACGCCACATCGACCACCCTGTCCCAGTCTGATGACGCGGTTGCAAACGCCGATAACGCCGGGAACATTTTCATACACCCCACCTCAAAGCTATTTGCTTCGATGTCTGTTTCCCTGTGGTAAGCAGACGCTGACTGGGGTAGCTAGTGTGCTTCGAAGCGCCCGAGCTCCTATGCTTCCGAGCGGTTGTGTGTCTGTTTCTCGTTTCAAAATGTCGACCATCACAGCAGAGGACGCGCGTTGCGAGGTGCTGTGCTAGCGTCAGGAGGTTGTCCGCTCTGGAGCATTGGCACTAACCTGTCAGGCAATTGATACGTTTTCCTACGGCAGGAGTGCGATGCTCCACCCGGAGTCCCCTCTTTACGCGGCGCCACAATATGGCGACACATGTTGCACGTGCATCTGTTGGTCGGCAGCATCATGTGACAGGTGCACGACACGCGCACTGTAGTTCGCAATGTATTGAAGTATGATGCTTCGTCGTCCAAGAGGTATCCCGTGCGGTCATGGTCGTCGCGATAGGCAAACGTTCACACGGTCATGGGTGGTCGATGTCTGGTCCATACTGCGGTACATCAAAAAAATATTTCGAGCTATTGTACCTGTAAAATGTATTCTTCATACATTAGTCTAATTGTAAGAAATGTGCAACGACACGACGACCATCCTATGAGTATATATCAGGGATATTTATCACGTGTCCATGTAGAAAGTAGCCAAGTTCTATCCCCTCCGTGTGCGCTGCAGGCAACATGGACAACAGTACTCGTACCCAAGCTACTGTACATATGACAGGCTAGTTCTGTAGTATGCTGTACAGTAGAATGGTACCGGTATCAGGAGCTAGTAGTAAGCTAGCAGACGTGCAGTCATGGAGCAGAGACTACATGCTGTGTGAGCACGTTCCGTACGGGACTGTCAGCAAACGGTCAGAATAGTTTTGTCGGGGGCACCCCAAGATAGTCGGTTGACTGTCCGGGGTCCCCAACAGTAGACTATATGTTTTATCGTTTCTTTAGCCTAGTCTAGTGATCGAAAGCTGGCCCGCGCGCCTCGCTCTCTCAATCTCATCTTCACCGTCAAAACCAAGCGTTGGGGTCAGCCTGTAATGGCGACATCAACGATATCTTGGATCTCATCGTTCTGCGAATACAGCACTCAGCCGTAGTCCACCTCTCGCATGTGGCAGTGCTTCTCAGCGAGCACCTGCGGTACGCTTTCCAAAGCGGACCAGCTCCACCCGAAACCGCGGCGAGCTTGTCACCAAGAGGTCAAGAGCCTCCCATGTACTTGTGGACACTGCTAGCTACGTACACCATGGCGAGTTCAAGACGCGCCTTCCCTGCTACAGCGCCTGTACATCCTGATCTGCACCGCAAGAATTCGGAACATCAAGGAACAACAATTCTTCAGAGATCCAAGACCGCAAGACGGTCGACACACGTTCAACACATAAAGCTGCGAATCATCAGGAACGTCAAGAGGACTCACGCTGAGGTTCGAGCTGCTGCTACCATCATGTACATCTGGAGCTGCTGTAACGAACTGAACGGTCTGGAGGAGAACCATTGTTCCAATCTCATCAGCGGAATGCTGCTGCTACTACTGCTTCTGCCGCTGCTTTGCGAGCCATTTATACGACAACCGCGGTTACCGCCAGTGTGTGAGACGGATTGCTTATACCAATCTGGTGTGAGAATCATGAGGATTTCCAGTGCTGCTGTAGACTGCTGCAGCATACGACCTCATCACACCCTGCTGATGGATGGAACGAATGAGTCGGGTGGCGTCATCAACGACGTGTACAGTGAACTGTGCTGTTGTGTGCTGCCCTCGCGATGCCACTGATGGTGAGAAACCGATGCCGGACGCCATCAGCCGTTGGGAAGAGTTTGAGGAGGGTTTCATGCGCTAAATCGGGAGCCAAGCTCTATCCCTTTGTGACGAAGCTTGGAGCCAGGGGCCGCCTGGCCTGGATTGCCAGAGGCACAACATTTTTTGAACTGAAATCACTGCAAAGCGCAATAGAACCGCTGGGAATTGCTTGGAAAGTATCTCCTGACGGCTAGAGTACTGGCGCTTGGACGCCGGACTCATGGAACTTCGGGTCGCTTCGATAGGAAGCCGGAATCAATCATCGGGGAGATGTGTCCGAGTCTGGACCACAAACGAAAAGCCGCTGGGGGTACCTGGAAAGAGGGTTTTCGGGATGCCTATGGCACTGTCGCTTGGACGCCGTGAAATCGCCGGGTCGCTTCGACAGGAAGCCGGGATCAATCGTTGGGGGCAACGTCTCCGGGTTTGGACCGCCGAACAAAACCATTGCTTCAGATTGCAGCTGGGAATGTGTCCTGGACGCCGGAGGATTGTCATCCTCTGGGGACCGCGAGAAACACCGAATCTGGGGTTTCACCAACATCTAAGCGGCAAGATCGCCTTGCCAAATGTAAAAATGGGCAAAATTAGCGGAAATGGCTAAAAAAAATAATTCAACAAATTTATGCATTCTTTTCAAAAGCATAATTATAACGTAGTTCAAATAGATTTGGAGAAATGGGCAGGATCGCCCTCCCGAATGCAGTCTATGAGTTAGAAAGGGTGGGTGACAGGCTTTTCAAGCCTGTCATTTTTGTCTTCATGAAGCACACGTGACATCCATCAAGTAAAAGTAATCACGCGAGTAAGCACGGTGCAGTATGGGTTTTTTCATGGCTCCAAAATGTTGATGTACATAGCCAGTTCCCATGGATCCGTGAGCGACCCCACGCGGTGCTTTTCACCGCTTATTATGGCTCCAAAATGTTGCAAGAAAAGTTGAAGTATGAAAAGTTTAATTTGAACAACTTCTCTTGCTACATTCCTTATGTACGCTCAGTATGGGCGCTAATTTTTGCGCGAAACGTGTTGCTTCCTTTTTTCCGGAGCGACAAGCATCAATCTTCCCGAAATGTCCTGTATCTTTTCTCGAGTCGGGGAGGGGCGAGGAAAGCTGCACGGCGAAAATTATACCGGTTCGGGTTATGGGGTTACACAACCCACTATAGCAACATACACGCCTGCACCCGAGCCCCATAACGACGCACACCACACCAAACATGGGGAGCAGCTGCGGCCAGTTCCATCATAATGGGCCTGATTCAACAAGACGCCGGTGGTGCGCTGGAAGAGGAGGAGGAGAAACTGAACGTAAAGCAGCAACGCCGGTCCTATCCCCAGCCAGACTACATGAAGTCAGCCTGGGGACGGAGGATGGGAAAGGAGGCACGGCAGTTCGTCATTTCCTTCCGAGTCCCCTACGAGATGTTTCTCGGCATCGTCGAGATTGTGGCGCCGGCGTTTCCAGCAGCAACACACGACGTAGCTGGCCGGCGGTGCATTTCCGTGGAATTGAAGGTGCGTAACCCTGTGTTCGAATTACTTTACGGCAGGCCGGTTCAAGTTTGAGAGTACAGCATGCCAATTTTTCTGGTGCTGTAGTCTACAGCAGTGTCTAACAATTCTGCTGTACTGTAGCGCAAAGCGCAAGATCCGCGGCGGGCACGGCTTGAACACTCTTCTTTATGCCGTATTTTTGTTTCCCCTCTGTGCTGGCATCCGCCCCGGGTGACGTATGAATTTAATTTGATATTCCTTGCACAGCAGTCGTGCGTACCACGACGTTTTCCAAGGCCTTCTGGCATGCAATCGGCTCCTTCTTTTGTGCTCGTGCTGTCGGCATGAGAGTGCCAGACTTGTCGATTAGCCCGATCCGTCGTAGCACGAGTGGTGGTTGTCGTGTTTTCTTTAGCACTGACATACCCTCGTACAGGTGCCGTTGCTCCCGTATTTCGATTTCAAAACGGCACACCGCAACATACATGTTTATTATACTGACACATGTGTTCTCTTTTTGCTACTCCGCCGTACACCCCCGTCTCCCGTTCGTCGCTGCTGCTTCGACAGGTGTGCGCGGCCCTGATGGTTTTAGCTGCGGGAAATTCCTTTCACGACGTCGCCACCTTTTCTGTAATGAGCGTGACGACTGCCCAGAAATCATTCCACCACTTCTGCGAGAAGTTTTTGGCGGGGCTCTGGGACACTTGGGTGAAACTCCCGGTTGGAGACGAGCTGAATGAGGTGGGGCGGGTGTTTCGGAGTAGCGGCTTACGGTGGCGATAGGTTCGACGGACTGCACTCACTTCAGGTGGCCTGGTGAACCCTTTTCGGAGGCATGCATGAACACCGGCAAGGAGGCTTACCCGACTGTCGTCGTGGACGCTACATGCGACCACACCGGTGAGATTTGTTTAGGCAGCACCTCCTTTTGTCTTCCTGTGTTTCGGCTGTTTTTTTTGCATCGACCGCGCTTACCGGCTGACCATGAAAAGACGTTGGTCTCAGTACGGTGGAAACACAATACACCTCTAAATGCCATTAACTGAGACCCCGTGAGGGGGTGGCATGGGGGAGACTATTATTTTCTACGGATCAAAGACAGAGACGGTAGCAATAGGAGAATGCCGTTCACGTCTACGAAGGCTGTTACCTTGCGCTCCTTGCGCTCGATTTCGTGTTGGAGTGCTTTCACCTTCATCCTTCTTGGTTTCACTACCATTATTCTCATCATCATAGTGGCAGCAACTTTACGGAAGTTGGTCTCTGGCCCTACGTCATTTGTGATGGGGAAGGTGATCTTACTCGAATCTTGTGCTCTCTTCCACGCCATGATTCCCTCCTAGATTGCTGTCTTTGTCCCTGTGTTGTCCTCCCGTTCCCTTTCCTCCTCCTTCATCGCTGCCAAGCGAATTCCCTTCATTGCCAATACGATCATGTTTATCTGCACAACTACTGAAAAACCAACCTATTGGCCGGTGGAAGTTGATCAACCAGTAGTCCGTGGCGTTTGACGCGAGTCCGTACGGACAGAAAACGAGCCAGCCAGAACGTAACCCGTCTCCGAATTCTAGTGGTATGAAAACCCTCCAGGCGAAGCAAGACTATTTCGTTGTTGAAATTCCTCCTGCAACAGGCTTTTATTTTTTCAAGATACACTGGCCATGCTTTGGCTAGTTTATGGTGATTGGCAATTTCGATTTCACGGCTAATGTGAAAATTAACAACCAACCACAGGCTGCGTCGTCGCGGCGGCCAAGTCCTATCCCGGATCGGAGAACGACAAGACCGTGACCCAACGCGACAAATCTATCTAGCATATCCGAGACGAGGAGCCGTGGAGTAGTCTCAAGTACAAGTTGTACAACGTGGACGGCTCGGAGGCGGAGTACAAGGGTGTCTGGCTAGTCGTCGACGGGGGCTACCAGAAGGTAAAACCGTGAAGATCAACGACCGCATCGATTTGTCGGAAAGACATAGCTGTTTCCCTCTTTATTGTTCGTAGGGCCGTTATTGTCGTCCAGAAAACACGGAAAAAAGGATGACCGGCTCACATTAACAAAGAAAGGGTTCTAGATTCCCCTGTTCTCATCGTGATTTCGTTGAGTTCTTTTGACGAACCACGCGTTGCTCGACACACAGCAGGTCGACTCGGCTCTGCATAGCACGAAAAGCAGCACCCGGCACACAGTACAGCACACTTCCGACGACGTTACCCACCCGGCCTTTCAAGTCGAAAGAAGTAGCGTGTCGGAGGTCAAGTTGTGTCAAGTTGTCCATCTCAAGTTAGTTTTCCTAACAGCTGTCTGGGGATGTGGCACACGTCTGCCACTCACCTTCTTGAGCACCACCCGAGCCCCCAATACCCAGCAAGCAGCACGGCTCCGGTAGTGAGTGTGGCAGGTCTTCCGTGCGTTTTGAGTGGCGTGTCAGGCGGGCCCGTCAGATCATTCTGTCAAATATTCCGATCGGTGAATGGAGCGCGCAGTTTGGTTTTGGCCACCAATCCGTTTCCACACTGTGGGTAACAACGCCTCCGTACAACTGCGCGCAGCAGCAACCCGAAACGTAGGCAAGTGCTACCACGACCTTTTTTACAAGTGCTACCCAACCAGAGGGCAGGGTGTGCATTCACATAGGTGATCATAGTGTTGTCTGTGCGAGTACATGGTTGATGCTAGAGGAATGCTTGGGGCCACCCGGTGGTCCCGTTGTTCTGGGTGTCAATGTCCGAATCAAATGCCGGGTGTCAGATAACGTTGAAATTATTTTTGGTTCGCTTGTCCCGAGCAGGAAACGACTGGCTTTATCGCGCAACCATGACCTAGGGCTGGCATGTGATTTCAATGGCGTTGAATCCCTCCCTCACTCTATTCCTCTATCTGCTGAACGCGCTGTAGCAGGAATTTTTCTTTGTCACACCACAGTACGTGTCAAACGCGAAGGTTGGCGCTGCGACACGAACTTTGCGCCATCAACCACGTATCTCTTCTCCTTCACTTTTCTTTTTGCCCATACCAGATCCCGCTGCTCATATCACCCATCGAGCACCATGCCACGGTCGAGGGTATGAATGGAACAGACGGTCGGAGAGCATGCGCAAGGACATCGAGTGCTGCTATGGAAGAGTGAAGGCGCGCTTCCGGCTGTTCATGGCGGGTATTCCCTACAAGATCCGCGACGGCATGGAAAACGCGTGGTTCACTGTCATGACCACAAACTGGACGTCATGACGGAGGCGACCGGCTGGCAGGGATCCGCCGGGCCTTTGGGGGGGGGCGTGTCAGACGTAGACACGGGGGACGACGACGACAGCGAGACATCATCCCAGGGTTCGAAGAGTTTCGCGCGAAGCTTGTTACCCGCTTCTGTCGCGTGGGCCAGAGGGAGGTTGTGCGGTTCCAGAGGGCAGCGGTATAAGAGGCGTAGGCCGCCTCCTGATTGCGTCTTGTCTGTTTTCCGCTCTCTACCCCCGCCGCCGGCGTATGTGTGTAGGACTGCTTCTATATGCGAGTTTGTCGTCGCATCGGTTACCGAAATATAGCTCGTTTTTTCGTATGTTTTACATCTTCGTGCAATTATAGTGCCGGGAGACCGGACGTACGTCCGCAGGATGGGACCATAGTTGTAGTTCCTTGCCTTGTTTTCCTTTCCTTGTATCATGTGTACGATATGATCGGTAGGGAGAAGAAGGTTTGTTGGCCTGACCAGCGAGAACCCGACATGGAACACCCCGATAATACTGGAGAACCAGTAGAATCATGGGGTGTGTCCCTGCCTTGTTTACTTGACTTCTTCATATTACTTCTTCTGGCTCACATAGCGAGTAGAGAGGATCTGGGGGCTCCAGCCTGTCTGTTATCGCCTAAACCTAGTTTTAGCAAGCATGTCAGTCACACACACAAGGCCACCATCATATGCACTCGCAGAATTTTACTGTAGTCCAACACCAGGAGCCCTCGTCCACATGTGTACGCTGCAAACACGCGTGTATTTGTTTCTGCTTGGGGTGTGTACAGGACTGTCAGCAAACCGTCCGAATTGTTTTCGGGGGACCCCGAAGAAGCTGGTTGACTATTCGGGGCCCCCAACGGTAGACTTTTTTTTTTTTTCTACAGTACTCGAGAGCTGGCCCGCGTGCCTCTCTCTCTCTCACTTTCATCTTCTACCACCAAAGCCAAGCCCTGGGGTCAGCCTGTAGTGGAGACGTCAACGATATCGTGTATCTCATTGTTCTGATGGTAACCAAGTTGCGTTACAGCACTCAGGAGTGTTCCAACTCTCTCATATAGCAGTCTGTCTTGCTTCTCAGCGAGCACCTGCGGTAAGTTTTCCAACGCGGTCCAGGTCCATGCGCTACCGCCGCAAGCATATGACCGACATAAACTATATGTATCATGATGAAAGAGAGAGCTAGAGCCGCACTGGCCAGGTCTCGATCACTTGAGACAATACATTATGCCATCTACTGTTGCGGAAACCGATTAGTATAGGCCAAACGAGCTCATCCATACTCTCCTACTGTCATGGCTGGGGTACTGCTGCTATTGTCTATATTTTCAACAACGAAATCAGAAAGGATGGAGCTTGCCTACTTTCTTCAGATATCTAACAGATCCTCAAGATTCTCCGAACTATCTGTTCTTCGACTCGGTTCTCGATACACGCCCCTTTCTCCGTGTGGGTGTCAATATGTTCAACATGGACCGCGTCAAGCAGCTACCCAACGAATGGACCAAAGTCTCAGCGCGACTGAACAACGATGTGATCTGGAATCCCCTGGGAACGTTTCGTGGCGGAGGCTAGACCATTGCACAGATGGAAGCAAAAATCAGCAGAAACAAACACAGATAACTGCATGCGTGTGACTTATGGACACTAAAAAGGATTTAAGCATGCTGTCCAGCTAACAGAGGAAGTTCGTCAACCTCACTCAACGGAGTGATGCGGGGCCCGGTAGCATGGTGTAGAGGGGACGCAAGCGGGTTGCTCACCTTTTAGGCCACTTCCTAGAACTTCTCTCTCACTCCTTCCCCCCCCCCCCCCCC